AGTAAACAACGTTAAATCCATCATCTATAAAACCTAAAGTTGTTTATTAATTTGATATGAATCGGTATTAATTTTACTCGTACATTTTTGTTTGGCAGCTATATGTTGGAGTTATGAATCGGTATTAATTTCACTTGTACATTTTTGTTTGGCAGCTATATGTTGGAGTCGAGCTCTAACTTGTCTCTTGGAGGCGGCATTCAACAAAGGAAGGCTACCCACAGAAACTTATGAGTTTTCACATGAAGAACTTGTACAAGCTATAAAGTTGGATTCAAGCGTACAGTTTGAGGTAGGCAGCATCAACGCTGCGGTGAAGCGTATTCAAAAGAAAGGGTTGGTGAAGATCAACTCCAAAAACGTAACGAATTACCAATTCTTTGCAATATACTACATAGAAATGGAATTTCTAGAAAAAATTTCATTGGGCAAAAATGTTTACAAAATGTGTGCATGCAGTCATGGGACGAAGATGGATATCGAGCAAGGTGGAAATTTGAAGTGAAACCAAATGCCAACGGCCAAGTCCTTAGAGAACAAGTGCTATTTGCAGCCAACGGCCAAGTCCTTAGAGAACAAGTGCTATTGCAACCCGTGGGTATTATAATGGATGTAAATTCAGAGTTTCTTGATGGAACAGGAAAGGTAAGATTAATTATTATTCTTTTGTTAATATATAAATATATACTTATGGACATGGATGAAAAACTAAACTAGTACTTTTATTTGAACTGATTTTGTAGGAGTTCTACAAAGTACGAATCATTGAAGAAGGGGCGGAACGACATGCACTCTTCATCATTGGATACGGCGTGAAAGATGGACAATTCTTCTTCATATGTCAGAACAGTTGGGGAAAGAAATGGGGTTACAATGGTATTGGGAGGCTCATCATCGATGATGCTTGTCCCATATTTGTCTTTTACCCCACGGGTGATCAACTATTTGGTTGATCATCAATCGATCCATGTCTGATCCATCTACATGCTTGTGTTTCTATCTAGTTTAGTGGTCATAACTTGTTTTGTTGCAAACTAATTGTCAAGTCTTACTACTGATATGCATGGTAAACGTTTAAAAGTTATATCAGTTATTGGGGTTTCTTGAAATATAACCAAATATAAATGATGAATTTGAGGGGCCAAAAAAGGTTTTA